TCCCCTCAGCTGGGGCTATCTCACACCGGCTGGTGCATTGGGTGAGCAAAACTAAGAAGGGGCTTTCGAGGGTGCTTTTGGCTCTTTTTGCCCAAAAGCTGTTGAATTCCACTCAAAAGTACAGGTAGCATTGCTGGGGGACTGTGGGTTGCTGCTGCGGGGGATGGCACTGCAAGTCAAGGGCAGTGCGGGGCATCAGGGTTTTTTAACATGGCTTATATGTTCCCAGCAGGAGCAGGTTCAGGTGGAAATACGCAGCTGTGGAAAAGTCAAATGAGTGGGAGCACGAAGTTTGCAGCCAGGGATGCTTCCAGTCAGGAGCGGTGTCTGGAGAGCCACCAGTACTGGTTATAACCCTCACATCCCGCTGGCATCGCTGGTGGCATGGCATGACGGCATTGTAATGACCTATCCAGAAAAGCTTAGAAAGGCTTAGAAAAGCAAAGAATAAAAAGAGGCATGCTGTGGAAAAGCCTGAGCGCGCTGGTGACGTGTTGGGTTATAAAACAGCTTGGGCAAAAGCATAAGCAAAACATCCCCTGTGCTGATGATAACGCGTTTTCAAAAAAACACTAGCTACTAAATAGGTATTAGCTTGTAGCTAAGGAAACTGTGTTATTTGTAGGAGAAGCAAGGCTTGAGGTTAGCAAAAACATCTCAAGTCTCAGGAAAAGGGCTTAGCTTTTGGCCCACAGCACATCCTGGGGAGACCTATGTTTTATACACAGAAAGAGCAGGTACTTTACTCTCTGCCTACAGTCAGACTGTTGTTCACACAGTTGAGAATTTTCACTGAAAATTCACTGGTATGTTTAGTCAGCTAGTGAAATGCTGTTGGAAGGTATGTATCATCCATCTCACCTGTCTCCGACCTCATCAATAACCAAAACAAAGTGTTAGTGCAACGATATGCAAAGGCTGAAACAGTTAGGACAGGCAAAGCCTTTAAAGCTGAGAGAGAAAGGGGACAGTATAGGAGTAAGTAAGTGTTTTAAAGTTTCTGGGTGAAGTTATGGGCTCTCTGTGTTAAACCAGAGTGGTGTGACTTAGCTGTCTCACAGTGATATTGTGCAGGGCTACTTGCCATGTTTCCTGGTGGCTTTGGGAAAGGAAATGGTACAGTATGCAAAGTAAATTATCTTGTTGAAGGCTTTGGCTCAACCTTCTGTACTGTGAAAGGTTACTTCTTACCAAGCACAATCGAGACTTTTAGGGTATATAGCAAAAATTGTTGACAGCAAGGATTTTGTTCTGTATGTTTCACAGAGATGCAACTAATAAGGGGTTGGATTTGTGATCTCTTAATACATAAGAGCAAGTATGTCAGCTGTCAACAAATTAATCTCACTTGAGAGGTAATGCACTCAGTTGTTCTGTTGGGGCTTCTGTTTCAGCTGCATCTTGGTCGCAGCGCAAAGTACTTCATTGTTTCTGTCACAGTTTGTGGCCTGTTCGTCTGAGCCTTGCACACAGCATGCTGCTTTTCCTGCGCTGGGATCTCGAGGCAGTTGTAGGTAAGTACCAAACAAGTACAGTGCTGAGAGGCACACAGGTTTGGCACTCATAACCTAAGTTAAATTTCTGTCTCCTCTTTAGAGATCAGAAGTATTCGAAATGGTAACTTCAGGAAAGAGGAGCAAAGTCTGATTCTCTATCAGGACACAAAAGATCATTTTGAGCAAACACATACAAAACTAACAGTATGTTTCCAGTTCCGCACAGGATATGACCAGTTCCTAGGCTTGTATTTCCCATTTAAAATATTCCAAGGAGTGTTTTCATGCACAAAGTGATTTTACACCGGTATTCTTCATACCAGTTTCTATTATTGCATGTATCACCAAGACCCTACTGCTGCCTTTAAGCCATGCTAAAGGATCTGAAAGAAGGGGGAACAAACCCATGGTGATTCAGAAGATGATCTCCCCAGTGGAGAGGTGGAACACCCACTGTGCCTTATTTTAATTGCTAGCACATTAAGCAGATAAACAAACTCTTAATGATTGCATATGCATTTCACTGGTCATGGAGCTGTGCTGGAAAGGGCTCAGGTTAAACACGGAAAACACAAGTTTGTGCAAGAAGGTGAGGCTAATAACTAGTTATTATTTTAAAAAAAGGACACTGTCTACTGTAAAACAGTGACAATCCAAGATCAGTGAGACAAAAGTGTTTTGATCATTTGTCTAGTACAGCTCTTTTAGATGTAAATGGTTCCTCAAAAATGATTCCTGGGAGCTTTCTAATTTTACAAGGCTGGACTAAATTTATAAGTAAGCATTTCAAGACAAGTGCAGAGAAGTAATTTGGATTTCAGTTTGAAAAGAGGTCCAGAGGGGAAAAAATGCAAATGTTCCATCATCATTTCATATGATCTTCTTTAGTTTGTATTAGGCATACCTAACCACAAGTCATTTCTAGCATGTCATCTTCTATAACAAAATCAGCATGAAACTACCTACAGTGCAGTTTTCAGAAAATACTGTCTTACGTTGTTTTGAAACCTATTGAGAGTATTTTATAAAATACCAAGAAAAATATAAATTCCATCTTCTCTATAATTATTCACTGTAATGAATCTGTAATTGGTTTTAGTAGGAAAATGACTTTGCATATTACAGCAGTGTGATATGAGCTTATGTGTGTGAGGGAGAAAAAGAGAACTCACAGTTTTTTGTGAGAGATTGTAAATCTTCAGATTTTAAAAATGTGAATTTAAAAGGTAATTAAATGAAAACTGATTTGTGATAGCAGTTTCCATTCCAGAAAGGGAATTCTATGTCCTGAATTGTCAAGACAGTTACCCCCTACTTGCTCCTATCAAATCACATTAAATTGTCACATCCTATCATGCCACATTAAATTGTTCAGTTATGTACTTTGAATGGCTTTCACAGGATTTTTTCTATATATATATTAGGACAGGGAAAAATCATTCTATGAAGAGTCACCTCTAATTATTTCCCCTTCTTAGTATGTTTTTGAAAGCATTAAGAGAAAGACCTGCTTTTACAACATGTTTTGTATTTGATGAAGTCTGAGTCCATAGAGGCCTTTGTGGCCTCTGGTCACATAGGAAATTTTTGAGTGCTGCTGTGTGCTGAAAATGTTGCATTATTCGAATGGTTGCACATGAAGCTGGGCTCTTTTCAGAACTGCTGTGCAGAGCGTTTGTCACCTTCAGAAATAAAGACAGACCAGATGACTCGGATGCCTAGCGCCTACGCAGTGTAAGTTGAGGTATGTGAATATTGTTGCTCAGATAGCTCCACGATGTGTCAGAGACAAACAGGCCAAGTGAGTTGGAAATTGGTTAGGTACCAACCTGCCTCATGCCACTTAGTCAAGTGCAGCCTCTGGGTGCTGAAAATACTGCTTTTCCTCCTCCAAAGCTTTTCCTCACACAGAGCATTATCTTCTCTCTGGAGAACAGTTCCAGTTCATACCCCGAAACTCTGACAAAACACTTACATAGCAGCCAAGTTGCCATTTTCACCCTCCACAAGTATTGCAATGTCCTTTTTTGGTCCTTGTGTCTTTTTTATGTTTAAAATCAGAAGCCAAAAAAAATTACAAACATGCCTGCTTCAAATGCAACTGTATCAAATTGTTCTCTCTTTTGTTCTCCTTTATCTTTTTCGTTTCTTTCTGTCTTCAAGTATGGTGATGCTGGGGGTGGTTAATTCGTAAGTCACATTTCCATTCACTAGCATTTTTTTGTTCTCTTACAGTACAGTCAAATCAGTTTCAAAGAACTGTCCTGAATGTTTCCTTATTTCTGATTCTTCTATGGATTTTCCTTAGAGGTGCATCAATTTCCAAACCAAGCTATATTCAAAATGCAACTGAGAAAGTTAATGTACTAACCTCTTCTGAAAACACCTTTTTTCTTATAAAGCCTTCCTGTTCCTCAGTGCTTTGATGGTCTATAATTACCATTAATGGGAATATATTTCTTTAGCAGTCAAAGGGCAGAGAAAACATTTTACTATGTCCCCAGCTGAGTGTATGTTATTAGCTGTTCTTCTCAGGAGCGAAGAAACTGCTCCTGTTGCCAGTCTGAGCATTCAGATAGTTCAAATAGTACAGAATTCACTGCCTGCAGCTGTAAAAGTGAGGAACAGTTCTAGGTTTTGGCTCTCCATATAGCACTTTTAAAACCAATGATATTAATTACATGGTCCAGGGAGGAAAAAGTGTTGGCCTCTAATTTCGTGTTCTGCTTTCTTTCTCATGCAACCTGTCCTTTCGTTTTCTTTACTTTTAAGGAACAGATCTCCAAGCAAGGATCTTTTCCTGCTGTCTGCCAGCCATTCCTTATTATCTGATGGCCAGCCATGGCTTTAGGAGAAGAAATAAGAGAAGTTGTTGTCAGCCTTTGAGCTTCACAGTCCCAAAGTAACAGGAAAGTAAGAAACATGGGAGTGGTGCTATTCGGACACCCTGGCCTCACTGTTGGGTGTCATCTTCAGAATAAAGTTTGCATAGCTTCAGCAGAGGTAGCTCAGAGCAGAAAGCTATCCTTTATTCGTTTGGTGTTTAGTTATTTCTTTTCCATAAGTAAGTGAATTTCAACTTTTGAAGGCAAAAAGCAAACCCAACAAGATCCAAAGGCACTGCATGCACCAGACCACCCAATTCTATCTTATTCAACTGAATGAACCCCGCGACATGCTGTCGCCGGCTTTTGGCAGCAGTGGAGGGGCTGCAGGCTGGGGCTAGGCTCAGCCTAGCCAAGGCACAGACGGCAGCCCAGGTATGAAGATCTACATGAGATGTGTTACTGTTCTGACTCTTGGCCTGGGCAGGAGGCGTGGGGCAGGGTAGAGATGAGCTGATGGTGAGTTTGATCTGGCATAAAGAGTGTCAGAAAGATGAGGTGGTGTGGTGGAGACTCAGAGGAGGCGGAGGGTGTGGGCTTGGAGCAATTCAGTCTGCTTTTGGATCATGCCTTCACACTTGGAGATGATGCACCAGCACATTAGCTTTGGGAGTTTCTTGTGCACTCTGAAATGTCAATGATAACTGAGCTGCTCTTATTTCTCCCATGAGGAGGGTGACCCTCTTCCCTGTGAACTTCACTGGCTCACATGCAGCTGCTTGTGTTTGTGCTCAGTAAGCAAAGCTGAGTTTCTGCCACTGCTGGGCAAGATGGTGGCATCCAGAAACCCGGGCTGTTGATCCTCTGTCAGTTGGCATCACATCTCTGCTTTCTAGTGCTAAGCCATGTCAGCAGAGTGGGGCTCACTTTGGATGCATGTTTTTGTACCCTAGGTGCAAAATTGCTTTAATTTGGGGGCACTGCCAGATCCTTGCTGCTTCCTTTTGAAGCGTAGGCTCTTCAGAGGTACTTTCTGTTCTCCTGGGGAGTCCTTTGTCTTCTGTGCATGTGAGCAGGG